AATTTTATTACTTTATATATAAATTAATAATAAAAATATAATAAATATGTTTTTAATATAAATGTCTATAAATTATATGCTTATCATTTCTCATTTTTAAATAGTATACGTCGTACGCAATGCTGACTCAGTCATGATAAAGCCGTACTCAACTCATCGCGGACCCACAAAAATATTTTTATAGTTTTTTAAAAGAAAAAAATGGAAAGTGAAAGGGAATGCAAACAAATCATCGCTCTTAATTTTTTTTAAAGAAAGCAAGATTTTTCTATTTTAATTTAGAAACTTTAGCAGAGATATTGGGGAGGATTTTATTATTATTTATTAAAAAATGTAAAAATAGAATGAAGGAGTTAGAAACTTGAGATTTTCGGAAGAAGGACAGCAGACCTGAGAATTCTCAGGTAAGGACTTTCCGGCCAATTATAAATAGCAAGGGATTTTGCCCTCCCCAAATCACCATAACTGCTACTCAAATTCTTCATTTTCCTCATATTAGGGTTTTCTATTGTTGTTTTTTTTCTTTTTCCTTCTGTGAGTTTCCATTCCATTTTCATTGATTCAAGATGACTATCCTTATTGAGCAACAACAATTTGGTAATTCTCCCCAATACCCATTTTCATTTTTACAATATTTGTTGTTGTACAAATCTTTTGCTGTAGGGTAGTTTGTTTTTCACTGGTCTAAAGCCTTGTTTTTATAGCAGGAATTGAAGCAGAGGAAAACAAGGTTCCTATTGATGGGAAAGAATTGGTGTTGGATGGTGGATTTGTGGTGCCACAGACCAATTCATTTGGGCATACCTTTAGGTAGCTGTTTTTGCTTGCTCATCCTGTTTTGGAAAATAAAAACACAAATAGTATATATGTGAAAAATGGCAGCTTGATGCATAGATCTAGTCCCTCCATTTGACCCAGATAATATAACGAGACATTTATCAAAATATAGGCATGCTGTTATGCCAGCGCCACCCCAGATCTGAAATCTATTCCCTTTCTTTACCAAAGAGGGAAAAAAACCAAGAATTTTTCTAATGATTTTAATATCATTTATGAACCTCTGATGACTCTTGACATTAGAACTTCCCTAGCCTTCTGCTCTGTTTAATTTCATTTTTCTTATTTTGAACAATAACAAAGTGGGGGAT